TCTGACGGGTCTGTACGGGAAAGCTTTCTTGTGAGGCTACCTAATGGCGAAAAATCAACCGCCAGGGATTCTTACGGAAATCGCTTGGCGAAGGTGTGGTTAGTGCATGGTTAAAGCGGGATAAGTGCACAGCAGGAAATAAATTAAGGCCGCTTGTAATTGTTTTAATGAACTAAATAATGTCTGAAAAACATGCAGATGGAATAAAATCGGCCAACCTGAAATTCTATTTGTCAGAAAAGGATGCCTATAGACCAATAACAATATAAAAAAACACCTATTGGTCAACATAGCCAAGGGATGTTTGAGTAGGCAAAAATTAAACCTACTGAAAATTTACAAAATTTTCATTATTAATCGCAGGCAGAAGCGGTGTCAGAAGAAACCCTACCGTCGGTATTTTTTTTTGCAAACGTAAGGCTACCATTTTTGTAAAGTAGTGTAATGTGGGCTGTTTTAAAGTCTGTGAGAAGACTTCCAGTATCGAAATATTGCCGATGCATAATGTATAACGCTTTGGACGGCTCTCTAGCTAGTTGAAAGAGCGGCTTTGCTGGAATATAACCTGGATCGGGATACTTACATTTCCTCAGAACGTTTAGTTCTTCAAAATTCGCTTCTTCTCGAAACAAAATTACATGAATTATTGAACTTCGCATGGTTTCGTTACTATGTAGAACGAAGGCATTTCCTCTGGTAAAAACTGACCGAAAGAACTCAGAAAATGCTCGGCTTTGTTTGTACTGTCCGATATCTCGTGACCTTGGTCATTCTTTACAACAGGAATCTGGTTGTTGATACTTGTGCAATTTCGTAAGTAGATGTAGAGCACCTTGGGATTTTTGACTGCGCGATGAAGGGCGTCAATTTAAAGATCCCGCCATCTTTTGAAAACCAGACTTTATAACTTGTTCCGCTGTATTTTGCATCATTTTAAAGCTTCATTATGGTTCGCTCTACAAAACGTCTTCAAAAGCCTTCTCTTCTTATTGATCTATTCTTTTAGATCACTGGTCAGCCATTGAGGTCCGTTGGATATTCTGCGCACTGATAACGGAGATTTACACTGCCTTAGATGTAACAATATCTCCATAAACAGATTCCAGTCCTCAGTGACCTCGCCAGAGAAAAGAAGTCCCTAGTCTATTTTCGATGCCTCAGCTGTCAGTTGACAGAAACATCGTTATATTTTCGGCCACGGTTCGTTTATCATAGACGGTACAGAATACAGAACTTAATCCCACGAAAAGAAGGCTTGATCGTCATCAGAGACATAGTCAGATAGCAATAGCTACTGCTATCTGACTAGGTCTCTGATGACGAATTCGCGACGGATCTGGAAACGTCAGGCGAATAAAAGTATTACCCCTGCGATCGAGTCTCATTTCTCTCGACGACTTCTCGGGACTCGCATGTTCGCGTGTATTGGCAATGCTTGATCACTTCGACTAAGGGGAGTTGGGTAGTATACCTCGCCTATATTCTATCAGTATGGTGATACGACATCACGGAATAAGACACCGACTAAATGTATCAGAGGCTTACCACGTTATCGACGTAGACACAGAAGAATGTCAAATGACCGAATGTAATTCAGGACTATAGCTTTGGGGAGATTGGGCAACTAAATCACCTTGTGGAACTGTGCTTGTATAAATGACACAGGTAAGGTCCAGGAGCAGGTCACAGCAGGCCGGTCCTACGTGGCATACAGTTTCCTTCCACGAACGACAGCTTTTTTTCTTAACATCCCCTAAATTGCATCCAAACTTCTAGAATTTCAAAAAAATACCCAAGGAGATTTCTAATGTCCGTTCCTTTTGCTCAGCGTCGTCAATAAGCCGAAGTACAATTACGAATTAATACTCATACATGTTATTATATTACTTGAAACAAGTGAGTAGTCGTGTATGTTTACTCGTTTCTACTAATCGGCTGTTGTCCGATTTTCATCTGCAAGTAGGTAAATGTGCTCTTGTGACATTTTTTGCTGTACCAACACATTTCTTCACTGCTGTACTCAAAGGAATTTACCTATTTTACCCTATATGACAAAACAGAAGTATGTTCGGGGCCTTATGCCGGACGGCGTCTACAGCTTCAGCTGTAACAGGGACAGCTGAGGAATCTGCCACCCGGAGGTGACACTGGAAATGTGGCGAAGAATTTAACTGGTTTGCATAAAACTGTCGATTGGGCCAGCGCGCACCGCAACGCCACGTCTGCTCATGTCTGTGACCAAAGGTTTGTTCGGCATGAGTAACTAAGCCCATAACGCAAAGCATGTTTGCATCGATATTGAGATATTGCTGGATTGCACGAAACGCGCGGAGATACTTTGAAAAAGGAAGTAGCGTAAATGCATCCGAGGTACCCATATATGTTCGTTTGCGCATTTCGTAGTAACCATTTACACAAGCCAACACTGATAAACAAATCAAATTGAGCATCATACTCGAAGGATATGTCTGATTAGTTCTAAAACTGCTGAAAGCATGTGCGGTTGCGGGAAAATGGGGGTCAGGTTACCTATGAGCCCGGCGGATTTTTCATATTGGAAAAGCTGTCAGCAAAACTCTTTCCCCTACCTATTAAAGATTACTCATCGACAGCTAGGCACGGACCAGCAGATTAGAACTGTACCTGATCACCACTGCTGCAGCCTGATTCGACCATTCAATAAATAAAACATTTCCCAGCGAAAGGCGAATTATAATGAACGGTCGTTCAGTGTCTGTTGTCGACACCGTGCACAGTCAATTGAGTATTCTACATGGAATGTGAAAAAGCAGGGATACAAGCACAATGCACCCTCAAGCTATGTATGTTACTGCGTTACCTATCAAAAATCCCGCTTTTGGACTAGTCTCACATGCTCGGCACCCAGCTAAAGCACCATCAGGTAAACTAATGGTACTTTGCCATTGTCCCGAATGAAATTACCATCCAGGAAAGAGCAACAAGCCAAACGTGCATGAAGAATGCATTGCCAATACCGGACGGTAATAAAAGTACAGAAGTATGTACTTTGCGGCGCACGGCCAACAAATGCTGTCCCCTTGCTCGTTCAATGCCCGTGGCCCCCCCAACGTGACCCGTCTTTACAGGCGGTTGTTCCCACTCGCTGACCTGAAGACCACATTACCGATATACAGTCGTACACACATGTGTCCAACTAGTCGCAGTTTCTCAAGGGCCACTTCAGCGCGCCTCTTCAAACAACGCAGCATGAGCCTCAAGACAAGACACCCTTTTCGGGCAAATGCAACGCCAATCACACCCAAATTGAACTCGCTTCACAGTCCTGTAAAAGCAGCTGCTATTATCACAAAACTCATTCATCCCTCTTGGGCAAGACCGCACGCAGTCAACACCAGCCCTGGCTTTGCCAGTGCCCATTGCTGCCGGAGACATTAACATCGGATTCTGTGCACAACAAAACCCTCACTATGGTGACTCTTGCTTTTTACCTCCAACCCGGGACTCGACCTGATGATTGTAGTACTTTAAGCACAGCCATTACTTAGACCACTACAAGTAAAAGTCCAATCCACAAGAAGGGCGGGATGATACGGGAAAGTGTGCGGAAAATACTGGCGCCAAATATCAGGAAATAACTGGTGGGGAAAGATTTAAATATTGACGAAACCGATACTGCCGCCCTCACCCGCTCCTCGCGTACACAACCGCCTAAATTAGAAATTTGGGCATAAGCCTAGAAGGAAACAAATATGATTACAAAAGCAGTCTTTTTCTTACTTAAATCGGAGAATAAAAGAAGGGAGGGGAAAAGGCAAACTGGGGGAGAAGAATTACATGACGGAAGTAGGCGTGTAAAGTAACAAACGCTGACAGTTAAGTTGAGGGGGTGAGCAGAGAAGACGGAGCCAAGTGAGAACGCGGAGGGTAGACTGTGTACATGCAAGGCAAGTGGTTTTCGTCAGGCAGTGGAGAAGTCAGACGACAGGGCTGTTGCTGTTGTTGTTGTAAAGTGCCACAAATGGCCGTTACAGGCTGCAGTGAGCATCGAAAAGGGAGGGGGATAATTGCTGCCACTTTGGTGGTTGTGGGGGTTAGGAGGCGGGATGGAGAATACATACTACTGCATATTATTTCCATGAGGACTTCCTGTAGAAAAGAAAGAAGAGGAATGTAGATGAACAGCAATATACAGTCAGAGAACAATTCTAACAGTCATAAGGACCACCGCTCGCATAGAGCTGCCATTCAAACCAATGGGCCACGGCTGAGTTCGAAGAAAACCGTACATCACAATAACCGCAAAGACTGACAATTAGTTAAGTCCCTGCAGGGAGATAACATATCGGGGGCGTATAAAGTAAATGGTCGCCAATGGACAGAGGTCCGCAGACGAACCAAAAAGAAAAAACAAATTGAAGCCAGAGACACCCCTTGGCAATTCTAACGTATAAAACTGCGGCGTTTGAACCCGCAATCACAGGAATAGGTGATTTTTACGAAGACATCGGTTTTGTGAAGTACATGAGCACTAAGCAGACTTTGTTAACAGGTCAGATATCCCTGGGACAAGCAACAGTCAGAAACTAACAGATCGGCAAGTTTGGTGATTCTGCCTAGCAGAAGCGGTAGCAGTCAGTAATAACTGAACATATAAAATCTTTCGCATATGTCGGCATGTTACACGAATTTTAGGCCGTACTGTACTACAATTACCTAGGTTCGAAAACCCGCCACCTATGTAGTCCTGATAACCCATTAACCCAAATAGCATCAACGTAATGAAATAGCAAAATAAACCTTAAATGATGATAAAAAATGCAAACCTTCGTAGCAATTCATAGGAGTCATGCGGACGTGAGACGAGGGAGTACTTTCACCGCCCGACTGCGAAGTATAGGGGGACTGGGGAACGTAGTTATAAACGGCCGTCTGTGAACCGTAAGGGGGTCGTGGAGGGTGCGGTGAAGGAGAAGGCATTTCCGGCGGGAAAATTGTAGAGTTAAGAGGAACTTCCGAATTGTGTGTTCCGAACATGCCCGAGTTCATTTCCACATTCTGTGGTTGAAGTTGTTGTTGTTGCTGATGATGATCGTAAGGGGAGCCCACGTACTCAGGGTGTTGGGAATCCACAGGCGAAGGCGATGGACGCATTACCGGGGCGTTCGCGTACATGACGGCACGGTGTTGGCTACCCACCTGTTGTATACCAGGAGAGGTGCAGTGTTGTTGCTGGATAGGGGATCGTCTGGGGAACCGAGACGCGACGTAAGCGTTGGCCCTA